CCCAGGTCTGTTGTATCAAATGTTGTATCACAGCTGAATGAGAAGGGCCCAGCTGATGGTTGGCTCCTTGACCTGCTGCTGAGACACTGCCCAGCTGCCAAACCTGCGGCATCTGATGAGAAAAGCGCATTTGTAGTCACAAACATTTTCAATTCTTTTGCTGAAAAAGATGTCTGAAGCCTCGCTGGTGTGTTTCCCATTCTCCTTTGGTCCTCTTGCTGCTCCAGGTGCATGGCTTGGCTGCGTTCCAGTCCTGTTCAGTAGAAATATTTCTGTTATCCCCCTCCTGCATATGCAGACCAGAACAGCTGGAATGGTTGGCACTCCGTGATCTCTGAGGGGTTCTTGCCTGGTCTTTCTCTTGTCACTTTTACCAGATCTGGGGTGGAACCCTTTCCCCCCTCAGTCTGTTAGATACAGTTTTCTGGTTTACACAGATTTTTTGATGTGCTTTTGGGGTGGAATGTGCTTCACTTTCAGCAGGACTGTGTGTCAGGATCTGTGGAACATCTGTTCCTTACCACCAGCCTGAACTCTCCGTGTGCTGGGCACATCTGAATTCGGACAGATATTCTTTTTATTTCCTATTTGCCATAGTCAGGTATTGCAGTTCTCACATATTCATAGCCAGGGTGTCAATGCCTTGTGCCCTCATACCCTGGGGGTGGTTAAAGGACACACCAGTGTGTCCCTGTCACCAGTACTCAATGACAGCCCCCCTTTTCCCGTGTTCTTATAGTGTTGTCATCCAGAGGAAATGGAGATGGGGTGGGTGTGCACTGAGAAGCAGCTTAGCAGCTTTACTAAAGTGAAAGCAATCCTTAGCACCCTCCAGTTTTAGGATATTTTCTGAGATCAAAGGATTCCTGTCCAGGCACAGGGTGGACTGCACTGAATTCTTTTTCTCCTGCTTTTCCCCGTATGAACCCACAGCCTCCCCAGCCAGCCCCAGTGCACCCAAACTTACATATTTTATGCACCCAAGGGAGGCAGGCAATAAAATTGCACTTTTATCTTCCAGCCCACGGACAAGCAGCAGGCTCTGGTTCGGAAATCATCTGTTGTGAACATGGAGAACTTCAAAAGGCAGTACGCCCGGAGGAGGTGGAAGGTACGCAGGGAGCCTTTAACCCTCCTCACCTGGGGAGGGGGGGATCAGAGGGCAGGACACGGGGCCTGAGTGTAAAATCGCAGCAGGCAGAGGGTAATGAAGCGTTTGGATCTGTCTGGGTGGGTATGTGTGGTCACACTGCCCCTCTGCCCTCCCTCCACAGCTCTCCTACCGCATCGTCTCACTGTGCAACCGCCTGTCCCGCTCGCTGGTGAGCAGGGTGCTGCTGCAGGAGGAGGTACGTGCATTTCCTGAGGGGGGGAGGAGAAGGACCAGCTTTCCTGGGCAGTGAGTTTTGCTGTCCCTTTACCTGGATGCACAGCCCAACAGGAGGGCAGTGGTTTGGAGGGGGAGCCCAGATGGGACTGTGGCATCCTCTGTGTGTGTCTCTAGTGGGCTGCACATTGTGTTGCTGTGACAGGAATTCTGTGCAGGGAGAGCTGGTGACCCCACAAACCTCTGAGGTGCTGCCCACGTTCACTGTGTGAAGGAGCAGCAGCTGATGTTGGGATCCCATGGCAGTGACCCTGCTGGCTGGGATACGAGCAGCCCTGGAGGGAATCTGCTGCTGCTCTTGTGCCCAGCTGTGTGTGATGGAGGGGTGGGGGACCCCAGAACTGCCTGTGACCTTCTGGAATGCAGCTGTGAGGGTCCTGTTGACTCTGCTTTCCTCCACACGTGGTGCACTGATGATATCAGAGCTGTGTGGTATCTCGTGCACGTGCCTGAGCCACTGTGGCCTTTCTGTTTCAGAGGAACTGTGACAGTGACAGTGAGGATCTCTCCCAAGGAGAAGTCCCCCCTCAGAGGAGAAGCAGCATCTCCTAACGTGCTTGAGAATTCCACGGGCAGGAGACGCAGGAGCCTTCCATCCCTGCTGAAGCAAGCAGCCCTGGCAGCAGGCCTTGACTTGGCTGAGTCACTGGGGTGATGCTTCTTGCTTCTCCAACAGCACCAGCAGCTGGGGGATGGTATTAAATGTCTGCTGAGCATCTTGGAAAACGGGGAATTGAGATCCCCAGGGAAGTGCCCCAGCACAAGCAGCAGCTGGAGTGCTTTTCTGTGTCGAGTGTTTCAGTGATACTTCAATCTGTTTGTGATGCACTCAGGGTGTAGGGTTTCTACTGATAATCTTTTCCTGCAGAGTAATTCCTGTCCTGCACAGGGGTGAATACCTTGTGCATTCCTATTTCAGTCAGGGAAATTGTTAGTGAGTCCTCAGGACACTTTGCAATGCAATTTTTGTGTTTGTTAATAGCATTAATACGTGGTGGTGGCAGGTACCTGCCAGGTTTGGTTCGCTGTGTGCAGGGCTCTGCTACTGCTGTCACTGAGGAGAAAATCCTGATCCCATCACACACCATGACCTTGGTTTTGGGAACAGTGCCGTACTGCAGCAAGGACTGTGCTCTGACACAGGCCAGGGCAACTTGGGGATGAAAAAGAGAGAAAATGCTGTAGTGATTTACATGTTCTTACAGGATGGTGGCAGGATATTCACCAAAACAGGGCCTTTAAAAAAAAAAAAACAGGTGTTTGAAGAAATAGTCTCTGTTGGACTTGCTTATTTTTGTCATTGTCATTTATTGTCAGCACATTGGAGAGTGGTTAACACCTAATTGTGTAGGTGCTGTTTACATGTAACCCAGACAGCAAACATCTGTGTTTTGTTCAGGGGGTTGTACCCAAAATTGAGGAAGGAAATGAGCACTTTGATACTGATGTAACATCTTTGCAC